ATTTGACTTGGAAGATGTAAAGGGGACGATTGGTTTTACAACAAAAATCCCTTTCTGGAGAGGAGAGAGTAGAGAAGGCCGGTGGGAGTGGGGTAGGTTTGTTTTATGTAAAATAATATAAAATTTATTATATGTAATTGATTTATTTAAGTTCTAATAATATATCATTATATTGTGTTTAAATTTTCAAATAATGAGATTTCTGGAGTATTATCACGTGTACAGTTGATTATTTTGTACGTATTAAATAACTACACTAAACAGTGAGTATTAATTAATATATACTAATTTTGTTTGATTTTAAGAAGAAATTAATATTTTTGAGTAAGCTACTTAGCTGCAGTACTTTCTATTTTAAGTAGTCCTACAATGCAAAACTTTCTTCGTTTTGAAGATTCTATTTTAAATAATCATTTTTTGTAAACAGCCACAAATTTGGGTTAATACTTACTAATCACTTGGAACATTAATATGGTGTTACGTCATCCGAACCCCATAGCAAAAAAAAATATTTATTAACCAAATACATAATATAACACATATCTTTGATGACAGCGAAAATAATATTTTACATCATCCGAATCCCCATTTACAAAATATTTTTGTCTCCAGAATATATTTTTGTCTCCAGAATACTTTGTAAATGTAGCAAGATTATAGTCCCCCTCTTATACATCTACGAACACATAATTTGTCTTTCTATGGCTCACTGACGGAGTGTGAACATTTGAGTTGGGGGCCAAAAGTAAAATACATATAAAAAGTAGAGAACAGGGGAGGCACAGTCAAATTTTTTAGTTTTAGGTCTAAAATGTAAAATTTTTAAAAGTAAAGGACTAACTCTAAAAGAACAGGGCCCTAACACCACAAGAATCGATCCTTATAGCGACGACTTTTACAAATCATATGCCGATGATAAGTTGTCGGAATAGTCTATACCAACGACAAGTCGTCGGTACAAAATCATCGGCATAGCAGCCTTGCCATTGGAAGTGGAAAAAATCGTCGGGATAGGTACTCCATACCAACGACATGTCGTCTTCACGTGGTCCGTCAAGACTGATTTTCTGGAGAAAAAAATAAAGTTTTATTATTTACTTGTACTAACGACATGTCATCGCTATAGGTTAACTCTACACCGACGACACGTTGTCGGAACACATTGACACTATTGTGCCATGTCTTCGGCACAAATTTCTAACGGTTTTTACAGTTTAAGTTATAGCGACGACATGTCGTCGATATATGTCAAAACTGTTTTACAGTTAAGACCTATACCGACGACATGTCATCAGTATAGCCAACCTTTTTTAATATTTTTCATAGATTCTGTAATTATCAAACTTGCTTTTTAAAACAAACCTAAACAATATGCAACATAATTTCATAACTAAATAAACATGATAACTTAGTTCAAATTTAAGATTTAAAGTTTAGTTCATGCTAAAATGACATAATAAAAGAAAAGATAAAATAAAATAAAAATAAAAAACGAGTGTTCAACAAACATTGTTTAAAATGACAAAAAAGATTAATCATCATCTTCTTCTTCCGTCTGTTTAGTTTCATTGATTTCGTAAGCTTGTCTGGGGATAGTTAGGAATTGAGGCAATCAATTAGTCATTATATCTTTTATCCATTTGTTGGAAGTATTGTTGGAACTGGTGGGTTCATGCAAGATATTGGGAATGACTCGTACTTTTGTGGTTTAAGTTATGATTTGAAAGATGTGGAAGGGGTTTGATTTGAAAATAAATTATTGTTTGTTAGTTTCCTTCCGACTTTGGGGGTATGTCAGCGTCTCTTCCCAATGACACTTGTGAGACATTGAGACTCATTTACATCTTCGCCTCCACGACGTCTTCTTATATTTTCCTAAAATCCTCTTAGAATTTTTTCTTAAAATACAAAAAATAGTAAACGTACATTAATTATAATAAACAAGTTAATTTAAACACTAAAATAATACTAATATACCTTAAACAAAAAAGATAATAATAATAATATATTTAAACAACGTACTAACTTCGTTTATTACTTATTCAATCTTCTTTTGCTCGACGTGTACACCAACTGAGCCTTCCTTAAAGGCATTTGTCTCCAACCCTAAATATGTTGTGGTTTTTGTCTTCGTTCTTCCCATAATAAGCCTAAAACAATTAATATATTTATATAAGTGTTCATAAATTTAGACAAATTTTCACAAATGGTCGTTTTGCTTTTCCGTTTGTCCTTAAATGGATTAATATGAAACTTTTTTTTCTTGAGATGATCCCTATGAAGCAAACATTGCACACGAATGATCCTTACTGTAAATGTCCGTTAGATAGATCCGTTAAGTTGAATGAACTTTGGATAATGACTATTTTTATCATTTTGTGAAACTTACTTAAATGATCATTTGTGAAATTTTACACGACCATTTAAAATATTAAAATGTTAGTCCCTCACTTTTTCCTTTTTACATTCCCGACCCTCTTTCTTACTTTTTTATTCAAAATTATTTTAAAATTTTTTTCCTTAATTTTATCTGTAACACCCGGTTTCTGGTCATTTATTAATTCAAGGTTGTGGACCGAAGGTCGATCATGTAAAGACTTTGGGCCTTAAGAAAGTAATGTTTAAACATTTTGGGAAGTGATAATGTTGGTTGTGAGATCTAACCCTTGAATTGTGTGTAGGATCGAAGGGTAGAAAGAAGAAAAGTTATAGATCGGGTTTCTTGCATGAATTAAGGATTTTAGTTTGAGATGTTTTTAGTCCAAAGTAACTAAATAAGATTGTGGGGCTCCTCAATACCTTTTGTGTGTATATAGAACGCCAAAATCGGAGTTGAAACGAAAAAGTTATAATTTTTTTGAAGTTAAACTGGAAAAGGGAATTTGACACTACATAGGGCGTACACTAAGTACACAGGGCATAGTGGGACGCACCTTTAATGGGTTACGCAGGACATAACATTTGCTATGTAAGGTGTACGCGTATGCCCAGCGTACACTCCTGAAGTCCCGATCCATTCCTAGCTAGGACGCTAAGCGTACCATATGGGTACGCCCCACGTACTAGCTGCAATGGTCAAAATGCACAATTCAAAGGTTGAGGGGGAAAAAGAAAAACTTACCAAAATCGGAGTTTTACAATTTTATTTTTTAGTTATATTTTTATTCATTTATTCGCAAAAATAATATGTTATATTTTGTAAATGTTCAATTCGTAAGCATCAATTGATCTTAAATGTTCAATTTTTTTCTTATTAATATTTTTTTTATTGAAAGCTGAAATCTAGAGTTTTTTTGTTTTGTATTTTTTTTTATATTTAATACTTAACTAGAGAAGGTACCCATGATTTGCATGGGTTAGGAACAAATGTATTTTTTACTTGATTGTATTATGGATGCATCAATATAAATGGTTCATGTGGTCTTTGTTTTACCAAACCGTTACAGAAATGGTCTGATGATCCTGTGGTGGCGGTAAATTGAGACATAAATGATCCTTGTTATAGTTAACTCTTACATAATTGGTATTTGTAATAGTAAACTATCACAAACTCATAGGGACCATTTATGTATGAATTTAATGTATACAATATAAAAATATATAAACTTTTAGTCATTCAACTTATAAACTTCAAGGAGTGGAAACACACACACGCATCCCTCATCCATGAATGAAAATCAGCCAATGATAAGGATTCACATCCATGCAATGATAGCATTGTACTTTGAGAAAGCAATTCATCCCTACGAAAAGAAGCGAAAATTGGTTTGTATAGCTTGAATAAATAAAGATATGATGCCATAACAAACAAATAAATGACATCGCTATTTTCTCAAATTAACTTTTAAAAATGGATTTTCAAATAGTGAAAATTAATTTGAAATAAAGTTGGGTCATGATATGCTCTTTTCCCCTTATTTGCTTTTATAAAATTTTAATTAATTTGTTATATTTACACCAATAGTTTAAAACTACAAAAACAATATTATAATGCAAATTTATTGAAAACATACCAAAACTTTCAAAAGTGGAATTTCACTAATGCAAGAGCTGTTGAGAAATTGCAAACCTTGATCTTTATTCATTAACAAAGAACATAAAACTTGCAAAAAAAAAAAAAAAGTGATTAATTGGCTAATTTGGTCTAAAAGAAACCTTAGAAATAGTAGCGACAGCACCTAAAAAAAACTCATATATTTACCTGTACCAGTTTTTTATCACAATACTGTCATGTTTTGTAGTTCAAGTAGAACTATAGTATAAAAAAATAGAAATCAACCTGAGCTACAACCGTTGTCAATTGACTGAATTCCTTTGAACATATTCAAAAATTCATGTAATGTTACTTTAGAACAATGTTACAACAACTTTTTACCCCAATAGTTTCATACCATAATCAAACATTACAAATTCAAAAAAGAAACAAATAAACAATTGATAATACCATTTCTATATTAACAAAGTATAAATAATGTGTTAACATAATTATTAAAGACCTGAAATTACCTTTACTTATGGGCACATCAGGAAGACAATACCAGAACTCTCTCTTTCTCACCTAAGTTGCAGGTAAAGCTGAACCAGTCTATGGACAATGTTAGAAACCATCCAGGGACAATTTTTTCTAGTGAAGGATCATCTTTGTCCTGCTCTTTTAGCAATGTGATTAAGTGTATGAATTATATCCTCCTCTATTTGAGAAGTAATGGGAGGTATATAGAAGGGATATAGAGGGAGGTTTGGAGAAGAATAAAAGCAGTGATGCTTAGTGGAAAAACATAGGAATATAACACTTGTTTTGGACACATATCCACTCATCGAACATCGAAAAGGAAGACAAAGATGGTGGATCTGCCGATGGCACCATGTATTAAGGGTTGTATGGTGAAAGAAATAAAAGAAAATAAAAAAAAATTGGTCCAATGGGATTAATGTACTATTCCTAAGGGAACAAACATGAAACCAACATGAAACCAACATGTAAAAGTCCCAATAAGAACCGACAAAAAGACTTGCCCTTTATTTGTGGGAGAAAATCCACAATGCTTTCCAATACTACCCTTTGATCCACTATGTCATACTTTGTGCTAAATTTAGTTTTACTAAACTTCCCACTTTGCCATCTATCTAATCCATGAAGACATTTTCCAAAATACTACATGATAGCACCTGCAAGGCAGTGGCAAAGATGTAAATAATGGAATGTATGATGATCATACAAGAAAAAATGTGGAACTGATCAATTGAAATATTTCACCTGTTAACTTTTTGGGTTGGATGCCTTTAGATTCCATTGTCTTGATAAGCCTTTTGAACAAAACAACACTAATATGTGAAACATCTTCAAACCACCAATCTGATTTTGATGTTTGGTTTCTTGCACCTATGTCGATTCCATTCCAAAGAATGTTGCCTCCAGGGCTTTGTAAGCAACCATACATCATCATCATTGGCCATCCAAACAAACTCGGGTCTGTGCAAACCATTGTTGACATGTCATTCAAGCAGTTACTGATTATTTGGATATTGTCACTTTTTGTTACAATGGTTTCACAACTTTGAAGAACAACCATGCAATCCTTCCATTTTGTTAGCATATTTTTATAGAAGTCTCTGTTTTTTAGAATAAGTTATCATCTCCATATTCATCAGTCATTTCAAGATAATCTGACATATGATACACCATAAGTATATTTGTAGATGTAACTTCAATATGAACACCATAACAAAAGTTAGATGCAACCAGAAATGAGGTGGCACCACCAGGAATATCCTCTGGGATGATGGTAGAAGTACCTTTATTGTTTTTTGAGCTTCTTTCATCAACTTTTCTATTTTCCCACATCTTGATAGTAAGGGAAACTAGAGAAATATGCAGTTTAAAAAGTTTGGTATTAATGATTGACACCATTTCACACAGGGTGAAATTAAACATTAAAAGTTAGAAGAAAAACCACACCTTGTGAAGATGGAAGTTTACTCTATCTATGAAAATGGTGAGATCACTTGGCAAACATGCATTACAAAACCTGGCACACAAATATGTAACTTCTTTAAGAGACTCGGATACTGACTACCAAATGATCAAAAAAGCAAGTGAATTTGGAAATCATATAATGTTAAGAGGAGTAAAAGAGAAAGAGTTTACTAGTTATTGTCTTCATTATAGAATTCCAAAGCCCTTTAACCCTTTATTTAACTAAGAATTCATTTACAGCCCATAAAATTAGGCAAATTACATTGCAATCTCCATCTTTAATGGCTATCTTTTCAATATATGTATCAAAAGACCATAATTCGCTAAGTTTTTATAATATAAGTCAATTATTTGAACATTCAATCAAACGAAACACATGAAATTTTGATGATAATTAGACACATATACACAAACATCACATAACCCACATCTAAATTCTAAGCCATCACAGTATAAGTAAACAAATTAGGTCAAATAAGCGTAGTATTGTTTACCTTCCAGGTCGAAAAAAATTGAAATATCAGGTTACTCCTCATGTAAATAGAAATGAATCCAATTGAACCAAAAGAAGCCCCAATCGATATTACAGGAGGTGGTGGTGATAGAGAAGAAGCAAAAATGAGACGTAATCTATAGCACCGACCAGTACGACACCACCAATTTCTATTGCCAAATAAGGCGATGGTGCCCATTCAAAAGACGGTGGAGGTCGTTGTCGATGGCAGAGGCTGTAACAAGCAGTGTCGCTGGAAATGGGTAAGAAATCAGAGAGAATGAGGAAAGGGAGAGGGAGGGGTGGAATTGAAATGAGAGAGAAGGTTCGAGAGGAAATCAATTAAAGGAGAGGTAATGATGAGCGATCATTTGTGTTCGTGTGTAATTGGAAGACTATAGAGGTGGAAGGAGTAAATAACACGTATACCATCATAAATGTACAACGAATGACTGTTGGTAGAGTAACTCAAAATTAATATGATTATAAATTTTATTTTTTAATTATATTTTTATTCACTTATTCGCAAAAATAATAGATTGTATTTTGTAAATGTTCAATTTTTAAGCAATCTTAAATGTTTAAATTTTTTTTTCTTATTAATATTAATTTTTTTTTATTGAAAGTTGAAACCTATAGGTTTTTTTTTTTTTTTGTATTTTTATATATTTAATACTTAATTTTGTTAATTATACTTAATTTTATTTTTTAGTTATATTTTTATTCATTTATTCACAAAAATACTTTGTTGTACGATTGTAAATGTTCAATTTGCAAGCATTGATCTAATGTTCAATTTTTTCTTATTAATATATATATTTTTTTATTGAAAGTTAAAACCTATAGTTTTCGTGTTTTGTATTTTTGTATGTTTAATACTTAATTTTATTAAATATACTTTAGTTTATAGTTATATTTTTATTCATTTATTCGCAAAAATAATAGGTGGTATTTTATAAATGTTCAATTTGTAAGCATCGAATTGATCTTAATACTGTTATTATTATTTTTATGTTTGGATTTTTTTGGAGAACATATAGTTCATTGCAAAGAAATCACAAGATTCAAATACAGGCATAATATGGTTAGGGATGCTTTGATCGACATATTAAAGTGTGCAGGGGTTTCCGTCAAGAAAGAGGCTACTGTGAATTTCCTGACTGATCTGACAAAAGGAAGGTCAACTCTTAGACTGACTGATGTTTTGATTTTTGGATGGATTGGAGGGAAACACGCATGTGTGGACTTATGGGAGTATATATCCCTATTGTAGGCTTGAGGGTTGAGGGTTTCACAGCGGAACAGACTGCATTAAAAGTTGCTACATGCAAGATCACCAAACATGAGAAATCGTACATGGAAAAATCACCACCTGATCATATCATTTGCATTTGATACGTTTGGTTTCTTACGCCAGATGCGGTGGAGCTTCTTATTAGAGTACAATGGATCATGCATAACAATGTTATATCCCCTAGATCTATGGATGTAGTCTTCAAAAGAATTGATTTTTCCATACAAAAAGGCTTAGTAGCGCAGCTTGTCGTCCGTTTGTCTTCTCATTCGTTGATAACTAAGATGTATTAACTGTATTATTTAATATTAAAATACTTTATTTTATTAATTATACTATATTTATTTTTTAGTTATATTTTTATTCATTTATTCGCAAAAATAGTAGGTTGTATTCCCTCCGTTTCATATTAATAATCTATATTTCCTTTTTGTTTTGGTCCAATATAATAGTCTATTTATAAAAATAAATACCATTTTACCGAAATAATCATCATTATTAGTTAACATACAATAGAATTAAATGCAATAAAAAGATGTAATTAAATGTAAAAAAAGGGTATGATTGTCATTTAATTTAATTAATATGTTTTTTTTTTATTTGTGGACAATATTTTAAGACATAGTATTTTATAAAAAAAAAAATTAAATAATCCCCTAACTTTTCTTCCTATTTGTTAAATTTTGATAAAATTAATTATATTTTAAGAAATTTGTTATCATTTCGAATGCAAGGATATTTTAATTTGTAAGCATCAACTCATGTTATATCAAATTAACCATAACAACTTTAAATATTAACTACATAAATAAGTAAAAATACGTGGACGGCAGGATTCGAACCTGCGCGGGCAAAGCCCACATGATTTCTAGTCATGCCCGATAACCACTCCGGCACGTCCACATTGTTCTAAATGTTTGGTTCTTGGTCATATTATTTCAATTTATTCTGGTATTTTGCTAAATAAATAATGCACCTCTAATTCGGGAATATGCAGTTTACGCATTATATCATTTAAGATTTTATCATTCTGTATTCTTTTTTCTTTTTTCTTTTTTTCTTTTTAATATAAAATAACTCTTTATTATTCAATTAAATAAATATTTAATCTTTAAAGTAATAATGTTGCAATAGTTTATAATTTATATTACATGTATGTAAACATGCTGTATAAAATGTGAAAAACAATAAACTCATGAAAAAAAAAAATCAAAAAAGTATTATATTTTAGACGACTGCTTCAGCTTAATTTTATTCCATAAAAACTACTTATATTTTTAAATATATTCTAGAAAGACAATTCATATCTAAAGAAATCTTTTCAAAAGAAAATTTATCTTTTAAGAAATAACTTTTGTATTCATAATACAATGTAGTTTTATATAAACTAATAAGTAGCTATGGGCTAGAAAAACAAAGATACAAATTAATAGTCATAAGACTCGTAACGAGGTTCTAAACCAAGATATTTAGGTAGTGTTTGTTTTTTGTCTCCAGATCTGCGAGACGTCTTCTGTCTGCGCCGCGCAGACATTAGTCTTCGCAGACTGTTTGTTTTTTTGAAGACTGCATACCTAAAAATGTCTGCGCGCCCACTTGGCGCAGATGTGGACCAGAGTCTTCTAACATCTTCAGACATCTTCTAACTTAAAAAAACATATGTATCTTTATTTTTTTTAAGTTTTTTTTTTAATTTATATTTTTTCCAACTTTATTAATGATAAACAATATGAAAAAAAAAATTACAAAACTTAAAAAAAAACATTTGACGATACAAACATGATATTTTTAACAAATTTATAAATAAAAATTTATTATAATAATAGTCGTTGAAGTTGTTTATATAAATATGAAAAAAAAAATCATAATATATTCTTATATTTTTTTGCTAAAATTTTGTAAAACTTTATTTAATAGAGTATCATCAATTTCTCGAGAAAATATTTATCGTACGTTTTTAATAGATTTATTTGAAAAAATCGAAGTTTATTTCCATCTATTTATGTATCAAATTCTTTGATCACTAATTATAATGTTTAGTTATAACTTTGCAATCAAAGTTGTTGGTTTTTATCAAATATGTATATGAATTAATACCATTTTTATTTTTATTTTTTATATAATAATACATAAAAGTTGATCTAGATTCGTTATATATTTATAATAAAGTCATAAAAATATATAAAAAATTCGCTTTGAAGTTTTAAAAAATCAGTTTATTTAGATTTTAGTTTATTTTAATAGCCCGCAGATGTTAAAAAAACAAACAGTCTTCTTTTTTCAGACTGCAGACGTTTGGTCCACCTCTTCTACTGCAGAGGTCTATAGATGTGGTCCGCAGACTACAGACATTTTGCCTCAAAAAAAACAAACAACACCTTAGTTTTCTTTACGTCTATTGGACAACCAATCCATAGAATAAGAAATGATACTATCGAACAAGTACTATTTTTTAGGATTTTCCGATATGAAGCTTAGCACGCTCTTATATTTCCAAATCAATCGCCACATAGTACCGATAATCGCATTAAGATCATCCTTTTTCAATGTGGGCATTTCTAACACCCATACTTTTCTTTACATAAATGGACAGTGGTTGTATAGATACAACGATGAACCATCACACTAAAAGAAAATCTTTCAAAAACATTTATCAATTACTAGAGTTACTATTTTTTGATGCTCCATTAATCAATGATAATTTATAAAACAATTAATGATAATTTATGAAACACTTATTGTCACCCTTTATTAAGTCATATTAGTATGCCGATTAACCACACACGCTCCACTAACGACTTATATAAAG